TAACTGTTGCAAACTTGCACGGTGCATGATTTGTCACCAAGCGATAAATAGAGTTTTACATACTCTCATTTTCATATAGTGACATAAACGTAAATCAGAAATTTGAAGATATGTTATCACCTATTACAATTGTTTGATCTCTCTCTCTCTCTCTCTCTATCTCTCTCTCTCTCTCTCTCTCTCTCTCTCTCTCTCTCTCTCTCTCTCTCTCCCTCTCTCTCTCCCCCCCCCTCTCTCCCCTTCTCTCTCTCTCTCTCTCTCTCTCTCTCTCTCTCTCTCTCTTTCTCTCTTTCTCTGTCTCTGTCTCTGTCTCTGTCTCTGTCTCTCTCTCTCCTCCCCTCCCTCCCCCTCTCTCTCTCTCTCTCTCTCTCTCTCTCTCTCTTTTTTTTTTCTTTTTTTTTCATCACAAGCAAAATTAGCTTTGTTTGATGTGGAATAAACGTCCCTTTCATCCATATTGAGGTAGTTTCAGCTGGTCTCTATTGTTTGTAATGCTCACTGAAGATGGTCGACGCTTTTGGTACATCTTGTCTTAACTAGAATAAGAATCTTTACCCAATGAAGGCGTTTATGGAACCTATCTGTCTAAGCCAAAGAGACTTATCTGTGTGACAATTTTAATAATTTTATGATAGTTTCAGTGTATGAACTACACACAGTCCACATTTCATGAAAATCCTCGCACATTTAAGGGTAACGGTTGCAAAAATAGTTAATTTTACATTTATTTTCAGTGCAGACTGCCATCTGAACGTTCTATAAAGTCATTGAAATAGACTTCGAAATGGCAATTTGTTGCAATTTTTTATGGGTAGCATGGCTTTTTAGCAGAATTGCATGTCTCTGAATCTAACAGAAGGATATTCTAGTTGAAACTCAGGGAACTACACGAAAGGGTTCTCAGAATAAAGGTTCTACCACAGCAATACATCTGCCACTGCAATAGACAATACCATGATCAAAGACAACTGTCAATCTTTTGGGGTGACAGGGATAACTTTGTCAGAGAGCTCTTCAAAACAAGCGGTACCCTCAATACTGAAAAGAATAAAAACGTCTTCCCCAAGTATCGCGGTAAATATTGTTGTGATGAAAATCACTTTTCCCCAGGGCCCCTTCGACCTACCTTACCTAAAGAAGAAGCCACATGTATTATCGGCAGACGGAACAACTTTGTGCAGAGCAGGTCTGCTTTTTGTCTACGTTCTGCGCTCCGAATGAAAACAAGAGACGTCAGATTTGGCTCCCCACTTCCCTTTTCTCTCACCTTCCCCTTCCCGTCCTTTCCTCGCCTTTAAACCCATCGGTGTCAACATGATGCTCGTTCTACCTCTCCGTTTGTCACTCCGCTGTTGGTGTCAACAAAGTACAACTCTATACAGGACTAGCTAAGATCGAAATTTCCCGTCTCTGCCCCCTTTCCCTCGTAGATCAACTTGAGATCAGTCTTATAAAAACAAGAAAATCATTAAAATAGCAGCGGCAGCCTTGACCAAACCACGGCATCACATTAAAACTTGTTAAAATGGAAATTTGAAAATGATGTTTAAATTAAATACAGTTGGGTTTTTTTCTGAAAGACTAATTAATTGTATGGCTTTCAAGACGCCTGGTGGATCCCTATAAAATAGTTCGTTTATTTATTGTTCATACGATAGTTTCTTTTCGTGCCACCCGTAGCTATAATATCAGCTTATCCGCGCCCGTGAGCTGACTCCGTGGGGTTTTTTTTATTCAAACGTTGTAAATTCGATTCTCGCGGGAGAGGGGGGGGTCATTTCATTAAGCACCCCGGCTGCCGTATACTGTATGCCGTTCAGCCCGAATTGCTTCTCACAGCAGAATTGAGACAGGTCACCTCCGCATTGATTATCATTTTCTCATTGGGAGCCTTTAACGTGTACAGGGGTCTCTCGTGGCCTAGAGGTTAAGGTGTTCGCCTTTCATACTGAGGTCCCGGGTTCGGATCCGCTAGCGACGGAAATCGGTTTTTTTAATATAAAATTGTCTCCTTTCACCTCTTTTTCTGCTCTCTAGCAATGTTCTGTCGTCTGCTTTGGTCTCCACTTTCTGACTGCACCCCCTCACCTCCTTTGCCCCCTCCTCTGGGCTCCTGACTCTTTCTACGGCCTTTCTGCTGCTACTTCTTGACTCCTTCTTACTGTTCTCTTTCAGCCTTATCCCTGATCTTCTGGTAGGAAAGATCTACACCTGGCCTTCTCGGATAAGAACGAAAAATCTCAGAGGTCTGGTGAGAAAGTGGCGCTCGTCAATGATCCCTTGGTGGTCTAAAATCGATAAGAGTAGGCTTCGGCAAAATTCAACATTTCCTACCCACTGAAAATGTTCAATGTGTGTCCTGTGCGCTCATATAACTTTGTGCAGTTGCAAGCGCCGTAAAACACTTTTTTTTAAAGTTTGTTATAGATCGTTCGTTTACTACTAAAGAACATTGCACGATAACCACCAGCTCTGAAACGCAGCACTTTGACTGCCCATGGACATTTTAATCTCTAATGTTAGATCTATCGATTGGTCGTGACTGTTGGTGATGATAGATAAATGAGTATATTGCTTGAGGGCCAGGAAACTGCTTTGATCTGTATTTTGCTTTATGGAATTATGTACTGTGGGCTTCGTCGGGCGTGCACTCGATCTCTCCTTATGCGGTTGCTGAAATGGGTAGAGAGGGGGAAGCTTAAGTTCAGAGTTGATTTTAGACCACCAAGGCATCTTTAAAAGTGCGCAACTTGCACACGGGACCTCCGAGATTTTTCGCCCTTGTCCGAGAAGGCTAGGTGTTGATCTTACCTTCCACAAGATCAGGGGTGTGGGTGAAAGACAGCAGTAAGAAGGAGTCAGGGAGAAGCAGTAGAAAGGCTGCAGAAACAATCAGGAGTCCAGAAGAGGGGGCAAAGGTGGTGAGGAGGTGGGGGCAGAATGTGGAGACAAAAGCAGACGACAGAACATTGTAAGCGGGCAGGAAAGAATGTGAACGGAGACAATTTTAGAGAGGAAAATTTTCTGTAGCTTTCCGGATTCAAACCCGGGACCTATTGAATGAGAGACGAGCACCGTAACCTCTAGGCCCCAAGAGCCCCCAAAGGTCGTCTCCGAAAGAACCTAGCCAAAATGGGAAATTCGTGTACAGTGGCTTTCCGAAGGACATAACGTGGGGCCGAGCTGAGGCTCGAACCCCCGAATCCGCAATCTCACAATTACAGGTCTGGTCTCCTAACCACTAGACTACCGACGCCACTGTTAACAGCATGGAGCTTTCGCCCATGCCTTGACTTGAACTCCACTTCAATTTGAAGGAGAGTTTCCTTGTTCATCTGAAGACGGATAGTGTTTTAAAAGACGACTCCGATAAGACGATTACGTTTCTAGTGAGAGAGTCAAACAGGAACTAGGCAGCCGTGAAAATTGTAAGATCTGATGCCAGCCATCATCGAGACAGACTCATGGACTGAGCCCTGAAACACATGCAGAGAGAGATCCCTGTTGAAGATGAGCACCCAGAGAAAGAACGGGTAGTCACCTATCAATTCTTCACAAAGCCTTGGTAACAAAAACGCAGTCATAAACGTCGGCAAACTGTTTAACTAGGCTAAACACAAAAACTCAAATCTTTCAGAAGAGAAAAAAACTGTTTCATCCTTCTAACAAACCTAGCTACATTATGCATAATAATTTCTTGCTTTTTTTTTCAACATTTCTAATTTGAATTTCACCCAAACAGTTCCAGAGCACACGTCTCTGATAACGCAGATCAAGAAACCGCAATAATACTAATATTCTTTTTCGAAAGTTAGAATTTATTACCTCTGAAAAACTGGCCAACATAAACTATGTTGACTCACAGCCCCCCCCCCCCCCCCACAATTCCCTCCCCACACCCCCAAAAATAATCCTCACCAACAGTTTACTATGTTCAACTAACAGTGACAGAAGTTATTAAACTAAGCTTACAGATTGCTACAGTCTTTTCCTGACATTAAATTGTTTCTAAAGTATTCATTCCAAATATTCCAGGGGCGAGACTGAAAATATGACAATTTTTGTATTTGCCTTCCGTACCTTAACAATGCTCTGAACTTATCACTGTAAGTTTCAGTCTACAAAAATTTGCAACTCTTATATTTAACGACTGAAGATTAAAAAAACAATGTTGATAAGAAGTTAGAAGTCAATGACAGCTTGTTCTCGATTTTAGATAAGAAGGTACGCCACCCATCTCTTGGAATTGCTCACGATAGACAAAGACTTGACAATCTTGCTGTTAGACGCACCTCTCAGCAAAAAGAAGACAGCGAAAACAGAACAATACTTGTTGGCTAAACATTTATGTATTATAAATTATTGCGGTTTCTATTCACATCCTTACTTACCGAAGCATGTGACTCCAAGGCTGTTGACACGTGCTCTTAGACTTAAACAAGACCATCGTTATATCCTCAACACAAATAGCGCCTCCTCTTGTCTCCATGTGTAGGACCTCATGCCAGGCTTGTATCTCATTAAGTGCTGTGGAGTGGCTCATCACCTGTAGAATTTCTCTCTCTGAGGAGAAGATGTTGTGCTTGTTTTGTTTTTCCTCAAACAACGGAACATCCAAAAGCCATACAGAAAATAACTCTTCTAACCATTAACTGCACACCTCTTTAATACTGTACAACTTAAGATCATTAGAGGGCATCTTCAACTGAGCGTGAGGACTCTCCCAGACGTGCTGCTGCCTTTACATAATATCATGAATATTTTGCCTTCATCTTGACATATCGGCTTAGAGTAAGCAAAGCAAATTAGACTGATGACAGAAAATGACACTGGATTATGCTTGACAAATGCTCTTTGTTACAAATCATATCTTTACATGACACAAACTTCGTAATCAAATATATACAGCGTATACCTTCGCTACAGCATATATTCCAATACAGACTCGCCCTAGCAAAACACACATGGTCTGAAAGCTTGCGTTTTGTTTAACACAGAAGATGAATTCCAACTCTACAAACTACAACTTCTTCCAGCTCAGTGGCTCGGTCAGCAGAGAACAGTATCTCTATTTAAACAATATCTTTGTTATGATCAAGGCAGTCGGACAGCCCACAGCTGCTGTTTGTCTTGCTCTCAGTGCTCTGGCCTTTCTTCTTGACCGGAAGCGGAATGCAACCACTCTATATTTAGTGACCTTGAACTTGGCTGAGTCGTTTAACTTGACAATGTTGTCTGTGTTCACATTATGTAGGATGTCCTCAAGCTGCGAAAAAGGAGTTGTGTACTTTAATGTAAGTTTGTGGCTCGGTGCTTACGTAGGGATCTCGTGTCGCCGAAGTGTCCATGTCTTGAACCTCCTCGTTGCGACACAGAGATTCATTGCTATAGCTTTCCCCCTAAGGGCAAAGACTACCTTCTTGCTGAACCACCCACTGCTAACATCTCTTGGCGTTATTTTATTTTCTCTCACTATGCACAGCTATTTTGCAATCATGTACGAAGTGTCTGACACTGGCAGCGTTTTGACTGCACTGGGGAAAGAAAATTACGACATATTCAGCAAATTTCAACACGTCATCATGTACCTCTTCATGCACCTTTCTCTCGTCCTCACCGCTGCCGCAAACATCGGAACTACTGTCACACTCGTCCTGCACAAGCGCAAAATGCGCGGCGTTCGCACCACTCAGAAAACTAGCGGCGCTCGAGAGAAAAACGAACGGTCCATGACCATCATGGTTCTTGTGTGTACCGGACTATTTGTGTTCATGTACCTCCCAGTCAGCACAAATTTCACCCTTGTAGATCTTCTGCCAGACTACAGTCACCTCTCAAGTGAAGCTTATCTTTTTCTCACAATCACATCAGCAGCCATGATGTGCCAGGTGCTTGCTGCCCAACTCATCTTCGTCAGCTATATCATACTGAACAAAAACTTCCGGAAAAATCTCCTCATGATTCTTTTCACCATCTTCTGTCCTCTCTCCAAGTGCCGCTCGTACGTGTTGGCGTTAAAGCCCAGCAAGAAAGTGAATCCGTGAGCTCAGAAATTGCGAAAGCAAAGAATTACTAACTACCGGTTTTTAACCTTGAAAAAGACTAAAGTGTCCAGTATCAAATTGATATGCATCTTTGTCTGCACAATCTCAACCCACCTCATGTTTTTAAGACAACTTTTCGAGAAAATAACTGACAGAAACAAGAGAGGGAAAGTAAAGAAGTAGAACCTACCAATGACTCCCTCCTACCACCCACCCCAAACTTCAACAATCGCCAGCACTGTAAAACATGTTTAATTAGGTTATCGTCATCCTCACAAGGTAAAAGGTCTTAATGATCCGCAACCCCAAACCGCTTCCCTGTTTGTATGTGTGAAAGAAAAGCACATCTGTTCATCGACACACCTCCAGCACGCGATATAATCTATACATCAGTCATCAGGCTAGGAGATGGCATGCACATCTCGCACCGCATATGAAACTGCGATCCTCCATAATATTATTCTAAGGCCAGATATTTGTGAATAAATGTAATGTGGGCAGGTAGCCGAGCGAGGTTTGAAAAATCAATCTGTTGTACCTTTTCATGACAAGGTGCGCGTACTGACAGCGGGCAGGAAAGGTGATAAGGCTGATATAATACTCTGGAAAATCTTAAGAACGTAACTGATAAAACAGATTGATAGAAAAGAGTTGCCAGCACCCAAAGCAGTTAAATGATCCTTATACTTCAAACTGCCGAAAGATCCAAGTTCTGGATGCTCTGTGAAATCACCCTAACACCATTGGGGCCAGGCCTTGTACACTCAAATATTGACCACTGTAATCCTGGCAGTTAACTGCTCCCCAGCGAGCGCCGAAACCGCAAATGTACCCCTGCTGGCAGCCAATAGATGAAATGATTCCAGGAACTATGCTGTTATGAGTGTTATCTTTCCTCGTCCTCATGTCCAAACAATGGTAAAGCACACTGGCAGTTGAGAACGATAGGAAAGTAGATCGTAAAACAACTTTTATGAGTTCGTTAAGGGTACAACGTTGGACTAGGTTCAATTCTTAAACAAAAATTATAATAGTTCAAATCTTAAATCTACCTAAGATAAGGTAAGATACATCTTTATTGTCCAGATCCTGGCACATTGGTTTGATGTTTCACCACGTACACACATACACACACACGTACACACACATAAACGTGCACACACACGCAGTATGCTTGCACTCACAAACAGGCTTACAACTTACAGTCACATGCATAATATAAATGAACAGTAATATAAACAATGACAGTGTTAAGCTAGATACATACTCAGTATTCTGATTGTAACTTAACGGTATTCTGATGCATGCTCTAAATTCATACGAATACTTATAACGAGATGATTAAGATGGAAGTAGCTTGATAGGTGGTGGTAAGAATGACCTTCTGTACCTTTCTTAGTTACAAATCAGAAGCCTATGCCTTTCGTTTCTGACTGATATTTTTTTTTTTTGGGGGGGGGGGAGAACAAGAGGTGTTTATCATCCTAAAAGATGGAATCAATTTTTTTTGGTGCAAGCTATAATGTATAATTCATCCACGTAGGGCAATGTACATGTACTCATTACTTATGATGGGTGCTGAGTTCATTTGTTTTTCACTTAGTTACCACATAAATGCAACTTTTTTATGTGTACGCATTGTTTTTCTCCTTGACTGTGTTGGTGTGCTTTAAACGTTTGTCACGATAATGTTTGATTTTTTTACTACCGATAGGACAGGATTTAGATAAATTTTCGAACTAACCGAGATCCAAAACTGAAATAAAAGCCGAAGGTGTTTTGTGTTGTAACCAAGTGAAAACCAGATGAACAGAAGATGCGTATAAAATGTTCAATGCTCAAAGTCTTCAGACAGAGGAGAAGAAAGCCAAGTGGTATGGCACAGTATGGATCCGTTTGTTTTCAAAATAAAAAAAGCCACTAGACTAGGGTCGAAGAGTCAGACTGGAAAGATTTGGGCCATTTGCTTGCTTAACTGAGCGCATGGTCGTAACACACGTGATAAATACTTCTTTTTAAACAAAGGAAACCCAACGTCTGGAAAAAACTGTATTCCTATCACCAAATATCACTAGAAATGACTCCTGTCACCTACAATCTACCTGAAAAAAACAATTGAGTTTTTTGTAGCTTTAAGATTGTGAATTCTCGAAAACCGTAATGGCTGTTGCAAGGACCATCACCTCAAACGGTGCATTTTGTTTAAGTTTGGGGGGTTTTTTTCAATGTTAACGCCGCTAGCGGTTGGTTGGTTGTTTGTTTGGGGTTGTTGTTTTTTTGTGTGGGGTTTTTTTGTGGGGGGTTTTTTTATTTCAACGCAGTAGCTTAGGGAATATGATCAACCAAATCACCACCACGTAGGAATATTTCTCAAATAAGATTATTATTGTAGACATCTTGAAAACAAAAGAAAGGTTCGCCCTATTTAGAGAGTGGCTGTTATTGAACTGATTGGCGTTAAGGTCGATAGGGTATATGCATTGCCCTGTTAAAAAAGTAATGTGCTGGCTGCTTTTGACTACCGTTTTCTTGTCCACACTTTGTAAAAATCGTTTTCCATTTGGAGAAAAAGTGCTCTGCTCATTTAAGCGCCTATCATTGGGCCAAAATGTATTGCATCTTTCTTTTCAAATCAATAAAATTCAGACATACTGTCCGTTGGGTGCGTATTACTGAGAAGAACACACAGTAACAGTTTTATAGATCTTTTAACCTCTTATTTACATAGCACAGAAATGTCGGCAGAGCCTTTGAATTCCAATGTTTCGCCGCTTCCTAGAGCCAGCTTTGCTCAGTCATTTGTTTATTTCCTCTGTCCCAGGTCCGGGCCACCAGATCCAAATCGGTCATTTAATAGCAGGAGAGAATAGCCTATGGCCCTATGTTTCGCTATTCTCACCCCCTCAGGTGTGCTAACATACAGTAGACCTATAGTCTGTTATACCACAGACACACACAGAACAGCACAGAGAATAAAATATAAGTAATAGAGATAAGTTTCAGGTTTAGTTTATGTTATGGGCGGGGTGAAGGCCATTGCACACCATGAAACAGCAAATAACAATAGAAAAAAAAAAACGATCCACAGATCTAGATCTAGGGTTATGCAAGGACGAAATGTTAAGAGCAGAACGCAGCTGATATCTACGGGTCATCACAATTATAGATCTAGATCTAAATCTAGCCTAATTTTAAGAACAGTAAGGCTCGCCTCATGCTCACACCGGGGTGGTGGTGAGAATAGCGGGTCGTGGGCTATTCTCACGAATTTAGGTGGCCTTTTTCTAAACCAGATCTTCGGTCGACAGCTATGCACGGATGATTTAGTGGTAAAAGATGCCAGCTTTTAGTAAGAGCGATTGTAGATTATCCTGCAGCTCAAGGAAGGCGAGGTGGTGGTTGGGGGGGGGGGGCTCAGTTGTTGCGACACGGGCTATTTGTATTATAATGATTATATCCTACCTAGCTCAAGGTAACTGTGTTGCTGGTGTCAAGTCTTTCTATTGTGTATACCTTGCCCGTTATTCAGCAGCAACGCGATTTTGAAACTATCACCACCAGTGCGTTTGTCCATTTTCTACTTCAGCTTATCAGAATGTCATGTAGTGGTTAGCAGATCACCTTTTTCAAAATATTCTTTTAAAAAAATAGGTCTACGTGTTTTACAGACCCATCGGCACAATTTGATCTTTTAAAAGGCTGGCTTTGGCCCCGCTTACCTAGTCAACTCGGACTGAGAGGGATATGACTTCACAGCAGAAAAACCGAGATACTCCATTAAAATTATCCCCATTCGAGTCTTCTGCATTCCACGACGAAACGCCTGGCCACTAGACCACAAACAACGGTACCATTTGTAGAGACAATGACTTATTTTATTTAGTAAGGGCATAGATCTACAGAGTTAGCCTGCATCTTTTATACATTTTTTACTGCCTTAGTAGAAATACAAGCATCTCCAGAAGCTGTATAGTCCAATACATTTGGATCTGTGAGTTTAATGTTGATTCTGCTTACTGTAAATAGATGCAAAACCTTATAGTAGTTATAGGCCGTTCCGTTCTCTAACAGCAGACATCGGATTGTCTTACGATTTTTGGTGGGGATTCAGCGCTCTACCAGGAAAGGATGTGACGTCTTGCAGATATAAAATACGTTTTCAAGAACTTATTCATAGTCCCATATGATTACATGATAGCTTCTTTGACTGGCCTGTTCGGCATATTACCAATTTACCCCCCCCCCCCAAACTTTCGTTTGGTCCTATTAGAGATAAGGTGCAACCGAGAATTCCGATTGCACCTTATCTCTAATAGGACCAGACGAAGCTGGCAGAGAATCACGAAAACTCCCCTCTGAACAGAAAGTTCAAAAGCATGTTTGTATAACTTCAAGCCAGGGGTTTCTCCGTGTTCCAACAGGGTACTGACTAAGTGAAAAGTGCACCCAGACCATTGAGTTGAATAATAATATCCTAGAAGTGCATTGTCATGATCACCGCTCTTTGCTCGGTATAAAAACTTTGCTGTGAAGCTTGCGTACCATGGGTGCCCAAATGCAAGGAAAAAAACCAGTCTCGCTTTAGTTGAGTGCACGCGGCATCTCCACCCTCCCCCCTCCCCCCACCCCGCCTCCTTGTCTTTTAATTGGCTCCAGATTATAGTTCGTCAAATGGAATTATGTCGATTTTCACAGTCTATGACTTTAAAATACAAGTTTTGATCCAGACAGAAATTGGATGAGGCAGATGGAGTACATCCACAATGTAGGTTACAAATAACTAACTGATCGTCCTGGCTTAAAAATAAAATGGGTCAGTGCTGATCATAACCAGACGTAAGTCATACTGACTTAGTTCGAGCTAGGAGGCCCAAAAAAGAAACACCAATCTTCTGTGGATTGGTTTTCTTAAGTCTTGAAAGTTCGATGCTTTTGGTTTCATTTCATATAAAAGTAAACAACTCTCCTCACAATATTATGTATTTCATCTGTATTTATGT